ATGATGGTGGTGATGATGATGATGATGTTGATGATGATGATGACGACGATGATAATGATGATATTGATGAATATGATGGTGATGGTGATAATGATGATGATGATGATGATGATGATGGTGATGATGATGATAATGATGATGATGATGTTGATAATGATGATGATGTTGATGATAATGATTATGCTGATGATGATGATGATGATGATGATGATGATGGTAATGATGATGGTAATGCAATTTCTTTTCTAAAAATATATACATTTCTCTTGCAGTTCATGGTAATTATTCATCGTGGACAGAATGGACTAGTTGTACTGTAACGTGTGGCGGTGGAGAGCACATGCGATCTCGAACCTGCACAAACCCACCTCCAGAGTTTGGCGGAAAAGATTGCACTTCTCATGGAAAATCCACAGAAACTGAATCGTGCAACACACAGTCTTGCCCAAGTATGTATAAACAACGTCTTTCTGTCTTTACTTCATTTTTTCAACTTGCCATCTTTCATTTATTCCCACTGTTCCTCWTCTTAATATTATATTTTCTCTCCAACAGTCGATGGAGGGTATTCTGAGTGGTCTAAGTGGGGTTCGTGTTCAGTTACATGCGGGGAAGGTCACGAGTACCGYACGAGGACGTGCTCAAGTCCATCTCCGAAGTTTGGAGGCTCCGACTGTGGTGGTCTCGGAATGCCCACCGATAGTAGAAATTGCGTAATGGAGCCATGTCCTCTCGAACGTAAGTCGACAATTTCCGTATCTGAGTGTATAATCAATGGATAGACACTGTACTAGAATAAAGTAGTGCTGAGAGTATTTAGTTTAAATTTTAACGCATTTATTTATTTATTTTTTCATTTTTTAGCAACTAATATACCCTGGTCGTTGTGTTCTAAGAGCTGCGGAGGAGGAATTCAGTGGCGCAAAATTTCACTTGAAGACAAAGTTACGAATGAGACACGAATGTGCGCCACTGATCCTTGTCCAGGTGAGTACAGCGGATTCATCTTTACAGTAACCATAGAAACCTTAAATAGTTGAGTTTTGCATTTTATTATTTTGTTTGTTTGTTAAATCTTTAAACACTTCTTAACTTCATTCCTAGTCGATGGCGGATATTCCCAGTGGAGTGAGTGGACGCAATGCTCGCAGTCTTGTGGTGGTGGAGTGACGTCACGATCCCGAACCTGCACCGAGCCTATTCCGATATTTGGTGGTCAGCGRTGTGAGGAACCTGAAGGTCCAATCCAAACTAAGCCATGTAACATGCAAACTTGTCCAGGTGAGAGCAACATTATTTAACAATACAATTTATACAGCTATTTCATAAAACGTTGTCGGGGAGAACGGCGAACGGCGATTGTCAAATGGAGATTGCACGACCGAAAGGGACTATGGCTACACTTTTTTGATAAACGAAATTTCACTTATTATATTCACTTTGCGCAGAAATGGAGACTAAATTGAGCCAATGTTTACCACAGACCATCTTACAGTAGAAATTAGTTATTATTGCCTTTCAACTAGCAAAACCAATGACTACTTTCGGTTCTTCGATCATTGACATTCGCCATTTTATCCGACAACCTTTTTTGAAATAGCTATATATTTGAAATGATTTTAGGCAGTTATATGACGGTTAATCTCAAGCCATATCAAAGAAATAAATTGAATAAATTTTCCATCAAATTATTATTAAATTTTGCTAATTTATGTTATATTTTGTCTTTCTTTTCATGGTGTTTTCTTTGGCGACGCATCAACAGCTCCAAAAGGTAAGAAGAGCATCCCGATTATATCCAAAAACCCGTGAAAGACTTCACTCTATCACCCTACTACTAGCTTTTTGCATCTTATCATTATCATTATTAATATTTAATTRATTGCTATTAATAGTGCCTATCCGATCATGYCGTGAGTTTTACGAACGCTGCCACAAGCGAACTGATGGCTTGTACACTATTTATGTCAACGAGAAAGTCACGGCTGCAGAAGTCAAAGTGTAYTGTGACATGACAGAAAACCAAGGTGGTTGGACATTAGTTGTYACTTCTGCSACCAGTGATGGCTGGAATTCTGAGAACGTAAAAGCAAGGTTAGTTTTTGAATGAAGTCGAACCTCTATTAAGCGGTCACCTTAAGCAACAGGTGATCACTTTATAGGGGTTGATCGTTTAATGGAGGTCACCTTTTACAATGAATATACTATGAGAATCGACTTTTAATGAATTAATGAGTGACCGCTTAATGGAGGGTGACCGCTTGATGGAGGGTGACCGCTTGATGGAGGGTGTCCGATAAATAGAGGGACGTTTAATAAGAGTTCGATGTTAATGGTTCATTGCAGTAAAATGACGTGCCATCTTCTGCAAAATGGGATTGTGTATTATTCATTTTGTATCTTCTTTGATAAACATAGAAACGAAGATGAACCAACGTTGGACAAAGATTATTCCATTCTTGAGAAAGCCAACGATATCAAGGGTATAGCACTTGGTCCGTTCCTCATYAGGCTCGAGGCACATGAGAGAAACATGCATGGTGGCATATGGAGTGTTCCACAGAGTTATAGGTAGACATTTTTTCTCCAATGAATATTAGCTAAGTTTTTTATACTAAGCTTTTGTAACGAAAAGTGTGAATTGCTTTTTATCTAATCAAGCACAGCTCGCGGAAAAATACCCGCCATATTTGTAGCTTTATTGAAAGGATTGTTTTAGTGACATTCTTAACTTGGATTGCTTTAAGTAATCGAAGAGCTAGGAYAAATATRTTACTCACTCACTCTCTCGGTCACTCACTTTCCTGTAAACTTCMTTWTGTTGSAAATTCMTYTAAYTCTCTTCTTTGTTTTTAGTTTTACAAATCATTTCAACAACCAAACCAGTATTACAGAGGTTGTGAAGTTCCCGCCAAACTGGAATTACGGACCCACAACTCTTGGCCTACGAATGCCATGGTTACCGTATGACGACACCTATGCCTTACTCACTACGTCAGACAGACTTGGCAAGGAATGGTTCGGAACTCTSGTTGCTAAGAAACCTCTCTTTAAACCATCTCCATGGATGCTGGACACAAGGATGAGCAACCCGAAGCGAATTTGGTACTGGATGAAAGAAGCGTCGTCWCTCTTGAGCCGTGAGTATTATTTATATATCAAGATATTGAACAATTGTTTATGATTATAGCTAATGCTTTGTTGTTTGYAAATACAGCTCCAAGTGACGTCGARCCAGACCCWATGTGYCCATCGCCAGGTAAATAGTGATTTATAGTTTTKATTGGATTTTCGATACGTGTTTCTTGTAAAGAGCCATTGCCAACCATGACTCCTATCGAACTTCAAAATATATAATTAGATATGTAACATATGCCAAATATTAATTTAAACGCGCGTAGAGTATCAAGACATGCTTTCTAATCGAAATATTGTAAGATGTCTCCCAAAAATCGATTGCTGGAAATGGATTTTAAGGAATATTCATCTTAAATTGACTGATTTTCATGTGTGAATAAAACAAGCCACAACGTTGGTCTGTGCCGTTTGATTATGGCCATTTAAGTTGCCTTGGATTTCCCTTTATTCGATTTTGACATTATTGCTTGTATTGCAGTTCCTGGAGGCTATACTGAGTGGAGCGAATGGGGRCCATGTCCAAAAACCTGCGGTACAGGAACCCAGTTGAGAACAAGAAAATGCATCGCCCCTCAGCCTATCAACGGTGGAGAAGATTGCGAAGCCCTTGGACCTAACGTGGAGTCCAGAGAGTGTAACATACTACCTTGTCCTGGTCAAACAGGTATGTAACCAGACAAGCAGGCTCGTAGCTTCCTATGATAGAAATACGACAAGAAATATAACCTGAAAAACCGGTCAAACAGGTTTTTGACATCATATTTGTTTTTTTAGTTGACGGAGGCTACACGGAATGGAGCGAATGGAGTGAGTGCACTGCTACTTGTGGTGGAGGCTCTCAAATGAGGAAAAGAAAATGCGAAAACCCTGTGCCTCAGAATGGCGGGAAAAGTTGTACTGAACAGGGACTTGGGAAAGATATTGAAGTKCAAAAATGTAATACACAAGAATGTCCAAGTAAGTCGAGAGAAATTAATGAAAAACTAGATGAATGAATGAATTATTGCATGCGTAAATGTTTCAAATGAACAGAACATAGACTAATGTATGAATTGTAGAGTGCAGAGAGCTTCATTACTCGTTATTGTTCAAGCTTTTCGATGCATCACCTATTATTTACACTTTGATTATTAAACTTTATTTCTCGAGTTCTTGAAACTCAAAATTGTTTGTATATTTTACAGGTCCTTGTAGTCCTCCGTGTGAAAATGGCGGCCAGTGCGTAGACAATCATTGCGTATGTCCTCCAGGGCTTTATGAAGGAACGTCTTGCCAGACAGGTAAAGAGTTTTTAGAATATTCTTATAGTAAAAATGAAATATCAAATAAAAACTGTAACCATTTTTTCGTCTATTTTTTTCATCYTCTAGCAATCTGTAAGAAACCATGTCAGAATGAAGGAACTTGTATCGATCCTGTAAACAATACCTGTGAATGTACTCCAAACTGGGGAGGACAAACCTGCGAAAAGCGTAAGTCTATATGCTACGTTGAACGTTTAAATCATGTACTACCTTTTCATTCTTTAACTGGTCTAAGAAGGACAAAATGATGCAATACTTTTTAGTAAAATACATACCTTTTTAAGTTTTAAACAAGACATGCTTCAGCTTTTCATACGCCATCTTCAGTTGAAGCGTTACAAGTTTAACGGTACATAGTTGTTATATATGAACGTACATCTATAATTACAACAGTTGATACATAGTTTGAATTATAAATAACCAATCATGATACGACATAGCTAGTTAAGTGAAGGAGATAAGAAAAAACATTAATGTATCAACATAAGGCTTCGTAGTCTTGTTTATAAATTAAAAAGTTGTGTCTTTTACTAAAAATTAACCATTCTTTAACTCTGATGATAATGATGATGATGATGATGATGATGATGATAACGATGATGATGATAATGATGATGATAATGATGATAATGATGATGATGATGATGATGATGATAACGATGATGATGATAATGATGATGATAACGACGTTGATGATGAATGTCTTGTGTATTTTATAGCTATCTGTGTAAGGTACTGTCGTAATGGTGGAATTTGCACAGCTGCACACTCATGCAAATGTGTTGGTCCATACACCGGGAGAAGATGTCAAAAATGTAAGTTCTACTTCTTAAATTGTTGTAGTCATACCTTTGCAATTCAATACCACAAACGAGAACATTGTTGTTGGGCGACACAATATGTTTCACCGTTTAGCAAACTGGTTTGATGGTGATGGATATTATTGGATGGAGCATTATTGGACAGACATGTTGGATGGAGTTTGAAGTAGTTTGGCTGCCTTGTTGGATGGTGTTGCATAGATGGTGTCTTGTTGGATGGTGTTGGAAGTTGTTACATGGAGTATCAAACATGTTCGATGGAGTTTGAAGTTGTTTGTCCATCTTGTTCGATGGTATTGGATATTATTGATTGGAGCACCAGACATACTGGATGAACAGTGGTTGGTGATCAAACATTTTATTCCTTGTATAGAGCTTTCCGACGTTTTGTTTGATTGTTGGCTTGAAAGATTGCATCTGCTCTTTAGCTAGTTTGTTACCTTGCATGCATGCATGCATACAAAAATTCTAAATTGATTGCATTAATATCTTCAGCTGATTGTGCACAAGAATGTGTAAATGGCGGAACATGTTCCGACGGTGAATGTCGTTGTAGACCAGGTTATTCCGGCAACGCGTGTGAAATAGGTATGTAATATGTATGTAATTGTTAATGTATTTGTGCTCGAGTATTGTATTCTTCGATGCTCTTTATGAGAATATTCCGAAATGGGGCTAAAAAAAACCCGGAGAGATTCAATTCAATTTTTGAGTCACAAAAATCTCATGGGTCTGGGCTTTACGAAAGTCAAATGCATTATTGAGCAATTATTGTCGACACATTTAACTGCCCTGTATTAAGACCAAGATACGTTCTTACAATTCTTAACAATTGTCTTCAATGTGTATATCATAGTCGAGCGATGTCGTCTTCCTAAACCGGAAGGACCATGCTTCGCTGTCCTCCAAGAYACTGTTAACCAGACTACGGCTGACAACTTTGATACTCCGTGCATGGTRTTCCTTAGGGAAGTCTACCAGACATGTTCATCAAAGGGAATGCCCGAGATGACCAGGGAACTCTGTGAGCAACAATGTGGTAAGTTATTTTATGCAATCACTTTTATTAAAAGAGCATGCGCACTGGAAACCTTTTAGACAACATCAAAATATTCTGTGATATCAAGAGACATGTAAAAGACAATGAAAAAAGGCTCCACAATATGGACTGAGTTCCTTAGACTGCAAATCACATTGCTAGATTTTTGTATGTAATTGACCCATGTTCTTGTAGTCCTTCCACACTCTAGATAGCGACAGACATAAACAAGTTTATTTGGATAAAGTCCCGATTATATTTCACGCTTTACTAATTTTTTTCATTTCATTTTAGAACACAACCAAGGAATCTGCTCCAAGGTCTGGTCCGCTGAGACTTGCCCAAGAGGTGAAGACAAGTATTACTACGATACTACCACGGCGCAATGCAAAAGCATACGATTCAACGGTTGCCTTGGCAATCACAATCTGTTTGCAACTTTGGCTTCTTGTACAGAAAGCTGCACTGGTGGCGAAAACTTCGGTAAGTTTCTTTAATTGAATTACTCGTATTTTATGAATATCTGCTTCACTCTTATCGGAGGCAGAAATGTTGATTATTCTAGATCTTTAAGTACTCATTATTTATTGAAAATGGTTTCTAATGCATGTTTGCTTTCAGGTCCACAGCCTACGGTTGTTACTCCTACCGGTCCTAGCAAAAGTAAGTGTGAACTCCACTGTATTAAAACTGTTCAAGAAATAGTAGCTTTGGTGATAAAAAAATATAAAATTTGATAAATTTAAAAAMAGATCAATGATATAGCTGAAATAAATGGGACTGCTCGTTAAAACGATCTCAGAATCTACACAAAACAAAATGAAAAAGCTTGAAAAATTGATTCCTTTTGCCATAATGTTCATATATTACTTATTTTGCCATTCGTTTTGTGGTGATTGTTAGTTTAGAAGGGTGTCATAGTACTGTCATCTTCATTGAATGAACTGTACAATAAAGCGCCGTTTACACGGGCAATGTTTCCTTGACAAGTTTCTTGACAAGGAAAATTGCCCGTGTAAATGGTCAACAAGTTTTCCTCGACAATTCTTCCTTGACAATGTTTCTTTGCTCGTGTAAACGAAGAACAAGTTTTTCTTGAAAAGGAAAAATTGCCCAAGGAAAAGCGAACATGTTGGCTTTTCCTTGACAAGGAAAAGTTGTCCATTTTACCCCATTTACACGAGCAATTTTTCCTTGTTGTTGCTTGCAGATCCTCCAATACCGACAAGTTATTATTGGTACTTTCTCACTATCAATGGCAACAAGCAAATCTTAGGAAACCCATCTTTGGCCATCAAAGGCTCCTATAGGCTTATAGACCTGGGMTTCCTATTTGACTCAAAAGACTCATGGGCTGAGGCTCAAGTCTCRAACCAAGACGGTCTGCTTGATCCAGACAAGTTGTCCGCAGGACTTAGTATTGGGATTAAAATAAAGTTCGACGAGAGCTTGAAACTGTGCAAAGAGCCCCGATATCTTCTCGATACTGGTGCCACAAGTCTTCAGACACGAGGATTGTCAATTTTCGTTGTTGGAAATTCRCTGTATGTACAGATTACGACTGCACAACAAATTTTTAAGGTATGTATGTGCAGTACTTTTGCCAACTATTTTGCTTATCTATTCTAGAGAAGTTACAAGTGTTCTTTTCCCAAAATATCTCATATTTAAGTTTGTGCAGGGTGTAAATAAACCAACTTTGAAAGAAAACACGTCGTAATATRTGGTYTTCTTCTGTTTAGGCGCAYACTACAATTACGTTTGGTCGTTGGAGGTAYTTGATGATCACGTGGCACCGYTCAACTGGTATMAMCATCTACTTTGACGGAGCAAAGTTCTCCGAGAATCGAGAACCTTTATCGGCAAATAACCCAGGAATTAACGTCCAAATGCCAAACTTTGCAGTTGGGCGGAAAGTCGGGACTGTTGGTGGAACGTGTGGAAAGTTYTATATTTCTTCGCTGGCTGTCTTTAAGCAGCTTGTTAATGATGCAATGGTGAAAAGAATTTATCAGTTCTTCTGGGTCAATAGTAAGTAGAGCAGCGGTTGAAAGAAAACTAAATTGGTTATATGAGAATATTTTAAACTTGATTGAATCCGAGTATGAAAATTAAATACATGATTTTCAAAATGGCGGTAGTTTACGACTGCCAATATCGGGGGACTAGTAATGAATCATGGAAACGAGACCTCAAAGGCCTTCCATCTAGAAAATGTCTACGAAGATCGGATGAAGGCAGTGTCCAAAAGTGTGAAAGATGTATTGGTATGTTATTCATAACAAAAAATAATCTTGCCAGATACCATGGAAGTTTATTATACGAAGGCTTGACTTTGAGACTCGTTTTAATGCTTTGTTCCCAGTGCCCTGGTTTGTGACCGTGACATATTGCGGCATTTGTGAAAGTCGTGAATGTGCTTCTGTTTTCAGTTGTATCCCAGAGCCAGCCCCAGGTACACTTCATCAGACTTAACATTACCAATAGGGCGGGTCAGCCTATCATCATTCACTCTGGTGACGATATGCCATCGGCTGGGTTCCGTGTTAGTGCCAATGTCATCGCTATGATCACTAAGACAGTCCCAGGGGCAACAGCAACTAGCTTTACCGTGTATGGCTCWGACGGCCAACAACTTCAATTAAACAACCAACTGTCCGTCGAAGTAATGCCTTCGCCAACTAAGCAGRCARTAGTCTCTTTTGTCGTTGGAAAGCCTTGTGAGTAGATTTATTATATTTTTTGACAATAGAGTGGTTTTCCTTCAACCATGAAAAGAAATAGAACAACTAGTCAGTAGCAATAAATAATAGAGTAGTCAATATAACTTTTAGACATATAAASTATAAACTAGAYTATTAGTATTKGTCTATTACAAACTAYTAACTATTAGACTTRTAGTGTTTTCATGGTTGAYGGAAAGCCACTCTATGAAGATTGGACATGTGTATCAGTGAAGATATTTGAAGGGGTTAATCTAGAATTCTCTTCAAGAAGGATTATTGGGAGAGATTACATTCCATAAGAAGGATTCAGAGTCACCTTGAATGATAGCATTCACTGCTGTGGTCTTCCTTTTTCAYTGCATCCGTATCAGGGAAGGAAAAAGTAGGAGAAGAGGGAGGCRGGGGAGGGAAAGACCACTGATAAAATAAACTGAGCGAGAAGAAAGAAAACAATAGATATAGTACACTGTTTCATTGYCTTTTTCAGCGGTAGCAAGGATATAYCATYTGTTCATGCGCATAACTAACAATGCCAAGCGYAGCATTCGTGTTCTAAGAAAAGCTGCCAATGATCAAACAACCAAGGAATTCCCWGTCAACACTAATTCAATTGTCATGGTTGACATTAAGGTAAAAAAAAMCTCAATGTAAATCAAATATTATGAGAAAGTAAGGTTCTTATTCGYCAATTTCCTGAYAYTATTCCCAGATGAACTCGTCCAGCCCAGTAACATTGACRGTCGTCGATAARGAAAACAAACCACTGTTTATTAAYTACAAGCCAAGCATGGTGTTAACGCCKACTGAATATAAAGGCAACGCAATACCATTAATTGCCACAACAACAAGTAAGTACTCAATTCCGGTTGGGCTGCCTGTGCTGATATCTTTTTATTAGATAGAAAGGAGCTGCAAAAGTTWTACAAAGTTTTCTCTCATATCGYAGTGCAGCCCAGAGATTTATGGCATCCTAGCCTCCTCCGCAAGCAACTCTTTTTTCCTCCTTTGGGCTTCCTTTGTAACGGTCATCTTGGCCGCTTGGGACTGACTCCCAAAAAAGACAGGAAGCCCGTGATTCTTTGTGATGCCTGCGGATGTATGAGGCTAATGGCATCCACGATGTCTGGATTAAATAGCAATTGTACAATAGTTTGCGCGTGGAAATTCTCATGCTACTTCTGTGGTAACAAAGAGAGATTTAGCTCTCAAAARATGACACATTTTTCGTTTTGACCCCAAGATCAAGMCCTRAGGGTCAYTCGAGTAAATATCAACTAAAGCCATCAGTCAATTCCACATATCCAAAATGTCTCAATCTCAAAAAACCTGAGTTGTGTGGATGACCACTGGCCACAATATTAAAATTTTATTTCAGAGCAAACTTGATTTAAAAACACTWTTTCAGWCTTACATTTTTTTTTCTTTCAGCGTCACCAACATTGAATTATGAAATCAARCTCAGYTTTTCAAACTAYGGTAGCAGCCCAGTTACAGTGAAGTCTAGTGACGATGTTCCTAAAGAGGGTTTTCACATCAAACCAAAGACAGTCACAAAAATYACCAAGAAAGTCAGCAGTCCAAATTCCATTTCCCTTACTGCYGTCGACCAGACTAGYAATGTTGCTGTAGCAATTAATAACGCAGCCAGCCTGGTAGTGACGCCATGGCCTGTCTTTGAAAAAGAACACAACTTTGTGTTTATCAACATTACCAAAGGAAGTAAGTTTAACATTATCTCGGACAGCCTAATCATTAGTAACGGTTACTGCAACTCTTTCAACAGTTTATTGATTAAGATACAATTAAATGCAATCACAGTTGAATCAGCCCTCGCAGTTAGTCTGGGACTATTCGAGGCGAAGGCGATAAAAAAAATAAGAAAACTAGTGTAAAAAATATCAAAAATTTACAGTTTTACAAGGAAAAAAAGAAGAAAAAAAAAGTGAGCGAGAAGTGGAAAGTATGTAATTCGAGAAAATTACATATTGAAAATTAATCCCAGCAATAAAGAAATAGCTTAAAAAAGCTCCCTTTACAGCGAACACTCGCTATTGCGTAGACTATAAATTCCCGCGATGTATCGGGATATATTTTTTGTACTGTCTAGCGTTTACCTTTATTGTCGACCGTTGTCCAATGAACTGTTTTTTGTTGCTGTATTCTAGTCATCAAGGTCAAGCCAGTACCCAACTTATTCTCATTGTACCTCGTTGTTATCAACCAAATGGGGCGTCCTGTCAGACTGATCCCCAATGACAACCTTCCAGCTGAAGGATTTGAGATTCCTGTTGGCACTGTTGTGATCGTGTCCAAGTTGTGCAAGAACACCAAACCAGTGGATTTCATAGCTGTTGATCCTGCTACTGAGACTATGGTGTTAGTAAATGGGACCGAACGACAAAGCGTCGTGCCAAGTGGTGACGGCCGCTCGACGACACTCAATGTTATGGCACCAGGTAACGATGGTTATTTTAATTATCATAATCATCATCATTGCCATCTCTTTCACCAGCCACCAGCATCATCAACATCGTCATCACCATCAAAATCATCATCATCATCATCATCAACATCATCATCATCATCATCATCATCATCATCATCATCATCATCATCATCATTATGCATCATCATCATCATCAACATCATCATCATCATCATCATCATCATCATCATCATTGTCATCATCATTGTCATCTCTTTCACCAGCATCATCATCATCAACACCAACATCATCATCATCATCATCATCATCACCATCATCATCATTATGATCGTCATCAACTTTCTGAAATGAATCAGATCACGTGAATTAAGTATAAAATGCAATCTTCGTCATCAACATCGTCTATGCCATCACCATAATTGCTATACTATATTATCTTATTTGACGGTTATTGTTTTTTTCTTTTGTAGAAGGATCGGGTGAAGTTTCAGGTAAGCAGCTATTTTCTTAGTTAGTTTAACAAATTAAAAGAAGCATAGAATGCAACCGATAAATCATGAGCTAAATGATGATACTTTTATTTTAAGATACTCAAAATTGCTATTGTCATTTCATCAGCTATACCTTCCGTAAGACCAATGTATTTCTGGTCATTTTACTACCTAAACAATGGAACCATTCTTGGATCACCATCTTTCTCCACCTACGGKAATGTCCAGGTAGCCAATGATGGYGTCTTCCTGGACGGAGTCTCGGCGTACCTTGGCACCCACATGAACGCAGACGATGCCCTGGTCTACCCAGATAGATTYTCYAGAGATGGCTTAGCGTTTGCTGTTAAGATAAAGCTACATGATAGTGTTAAGGAGTATCTTGTTCCTAAGTATATTATTGACAGTGGAGTAAAGAGTTTGTCAACTCGTGGTGTGTCTTTGTATATCTTGGAGAAGAAACTAGTCGTGGAGTTGGCGACATCGGAAATTATATGGAAGGTACTTAGGCGATAATGTTTTGTTTGTTATTGAGTAGTATTGAGTCGAGTTAGAGTTTGAGTTAAAGTTAGAGTTAAGGTTAGAGTTAGAATTATATGGAAGGTACTTAGGTGATAATGTTTTTTTTTTTTGCTATTGAGTAGTATTGAGTCAAGTTAGAGTTAGAGTTTGAGTCAAGGTTAGAGTTAGAGTGAGAACTAGGAAGAGCTTAGTTTATCCTCCGTATTTTTTATAAGAAATAATTGACGATATTAAAACAAAATCGAAAATCTTTATTAGAGAGGACCCATTCAGTTTGAGACAAATAATACTCGACTAGAAAGATTGATGTGATAGTAAAATCATGTAGTCAATCCGCGCTGTGGCTAGTGAAGAAATTGATAGCTTTTTCGGTGGACTGTTACCTTGTTCCTGTCGTCACGGTACGGTGCAGTCTCAGTCCAAACCGTTCTGAAATGGGTATATCCATTTTTCTACTGGAATAAATTTAAACTTACATTATTCTATTCTATTAGACTGAGACGGACATCGGCTCAAGTACCAACAAATGGTTGTACATCTTGGTATCGTGGTACCCAGAAAAAGGMCTGACACTATACGTTGATGGAGTCAGCAAGGGAGAGGATTCAGGAGGCATTGCTTATAGTGGATACAAAGCTGTCTCACCACAACAGAATCTACGCATCGGACGCAAYCTTGGTGACGATCAAGCTAACTTGGCATGCTTCTACATTGCATCTTTTGCGATTTTCCGACAATCTCTGCCATCTGATCAGGCTGCGCAAAGCTACAGATACTATATTGGAAATGGTGAGAATCTTGTGGTTACAGCTCGATGTATTCGCATGTTTTCGAGTCCAACTTATTAATAAGAAATTATAAAACACCATTCTAGGTTTACGGAGAATATGTGTGATGTTTGGTGTCATAAATGGACCAGACGCGTTATTTTCTGAACTGTTTTTTAAATCAGGATTCAATATTTAAATAGGAAATATGATGGAAAATTTTACGTTACAAACGTTTTTAAAAAGTAAAGGAGCGTATCTAATTGCAGTCTTGAAAATTAAACCTTTCTTCTCTCCTTTTTCAGTTTTAATTTTCTCTTTAATGTTTATTAACTGCTATTTGCCATTGAATTCATTTACTAATGAATTGAACCCACGTTGCATAAAGAACAAGAAAGCATTTAATATATGCCTAAATTGTCTATTTAAATAATACCAACGGAATAAGATGGCTAAAATCAGGAATATTTCTTTCAGCTATCATCCAGCCATCCAARATGTACTATATCAGTATGCGAATCAACAACACACTTGACAAGGAGGTAGAGTTGGTTTCCAACGATGGACACCCACCTGGCGGTGTCCTCTTAAAACCCAAACAGACACTGGTGTTACGTAAAGAAATCTCGGTGTCTGTCTCCGTTGTATTCACTGCTCAGGATGTCTCTACTGGTAGCGGATTGCTGCTCAACGATGGTGAGGAGTACGTTGCAACTCCAAGTGAATACAAGCAACAGTTGACTTCTATTGATATCACTGATGCTGAATGTGTTGGTGAGTATGCCGCAATATCAGTTAATCAATCAATCGATCAATCGTTCATTTAATAAATCAATCAGCAATTAATTAAATCAATAAGGCAATCAAGAAATCACTCAGGCAATCAATCACTCAATCAATTTTTCAATGAATAAAACAACCAATCAATCAATCAATGAGTCAATCAATCAATGAGTCAATCAATCAATTAATCAATCAATCAATTAATCAATCAATCAATCATACACTTAATACATATTATAATCCAGCCAACTATTGATTGCAAAAAAGTTATACAGTCAACTCTCTCGTAAGCGACCACCTCGGGATCAGGAAAAAGTGGTCGCTTACGAGAGATGGTCGCTTACGAGAGAGTTTTTTTACAGAGTTTATATGGGAAGCAATTATAACAGGAAATTTAAAAGGTGGTCGCTTACGAGAGTGGTCGTTTAAAGAGAGTCAACTGTAATTGTTGACTCACTACAAGTCGTTGTACAAATAACTTTGACAAAGTCTACTCATGATAAATAATAATCGTCTTTGGTGATTTTCCAGATAAACCAGCGCCACGTGATCGATATTACGCAACTCTTATCCTCAAGAACAGGTACAAATCCACTGCAGTTATCATCTCAAATGACAATCATCCCTCTGATGGGTATCGCATAGGGTCAGGTTCCCAGGAAACACTAAGTAAAGAAGTACTAACAACCGGGAAGATCGATGTTCGTGCTTTTGATCCTACGACTGGCAAACCACTTCTAGTCAATGGCCAGGAATCCTACTCTATAACCCCGTCAAGAGAGAAACGAAATCCCGATGCTCTGGAAATCACTTCTCAAGGTATAGTTACCGTGATGATTTCAATTGCCCTATTTCATTATGACGTCATAGTATGTTTACATCGGAAAACGATGCTCGAAAACAGTAGAAACTTGGACCGATTTATATTGTCTAATAAAGTAGAACTTCAATGAATCACGTTTTGATATATATCATGTATAAATGATTGTTCATGTACATTTKATTTGAWATGCAGTCACTCTGATCCCTTCTGGCGACCATAATCCTTAGCGTTAAAACAATAGAATGTTTTGATGTGACGTCATAATGAACTAGGGCAATTTACACATAGATTCGAGACAAGCCATCTTGCACTGTAATTATTAGAATAGTCACATAACTATACACTTTATACCATTGGAATGAAGGAAACTATTTGGCGTATTTGGAAAACCGATATTTTTAGATATTTTTAGGATGATGATGGCGATGATAATGATGATTATAATGATATTGATAGATCCAATTAAAAATTAAAAAATGACTGAGCATTGTATATAATAATTGTTTCGAAGGGAATATATTTTCATCCATTCAAAAAAATCCTTGTATTTTACTGCATGGCCTAGCGTCTTATCAGTCAAGAACATTTTTATCTAAATTCTTCCGCCATTTTTCGTTTCCGTCTATGATTTGATGATTGTTAYAATAATTCYGATGATAAAYTGCAGATGAAGCCGATATGCCAACGTCTCTATCACCAATACCATACAGCCATTACTGGTCMATGGGCCTCATCAATAAAGGTTTTGTAGAGGGMAACCCCGCCTTCAAGGTCAATGGTGAGGTGGCGATCAAAGATGGAGGTATTAMTTTCGACGGGGAGACCGCCTGGCTTGGAGCCACAGTCGACCAGGAAAGCTGTCTGATGAATCCGGGCAACTGTGTYGAGGGATTCTCTCTTGGRACYAAGTTAAAGTTTGAAGACTTGCCTGATAACGAGGACGAGCGYTACATCATTGACACCGGTGCTCAGAGTACAGGAAGGCGTGGTGTATCTCTCTTTGTGACAAAAGGAAAGTTAACTTTCGTTCTTGCTACAGCAGAGAGAACTTGGCTGGTACGTTGTTATGCCGTTCTATTTGATTTTTTGAAATTGTTTATAGATTATTTGATATAAGTTAAAATGAAATTTGATCATTTGCCTTTTGTCGATGGCGGTAATGGGTTATGATTGAAGAACATTCAATATTTCCAGAGTAAGAACGTTTATTGTCCTCAAAATGGCTGCTATCACATGATAATGACGGCTATTGGTTGTTCTTACTAATTTGCATATTCTTCCCCAGGCCTCCACTCCAGTGGTGCCCAACGCGTGGTTCTATCTTCTTGTCATGTGGAATCGTAATGACGGTCTCTCGATGTACATGGACAACCAACTAAAAGCATCGACAAGAGACGGACGACCAAATCCWGTAGAAAGACTGCCAACAACCGAGCAAACGAACTTAAATGTTGGTMGAAACATCAATGGACAAAGCGCTCCACATAATGCGCATTTCTTGATGTCTTCGTTRGTTATGTTCAATAGGAACATCCCAACTCAGTCTGTCCCATCAATCACGAAATATTTCTCCAAACCAAGTGAGTATGAAGGATTACGTTCAGTGATCACGAATAAGGTTTCAATGTACAAGCTTTTCTTTCCTGCTCAACGTACCTTTGCGCCTTGGTTCAATGCTTTGCCCGTGGTTACCGAAGTCTATTATGGAATATCGTGAATAAAAGAAAGCTCACATTCATTACTGCATTGGAGTGGAAAAACTGCCATGTATTTCATACAACTTTCTACTCTTGAGAGCAAAATTCATTCTAAGGATATTTTATCCATTCCTACTTCTAAGTCGAACTAAAGCCGCCATAAAAGGATAGAAACTTATGAAATTTTCACACTGTTGGTCCTTCGTTGAAGTGTAAGCACCAGTAATAGGAAAATAGAGGTTCTGAAACCGGAGCAGCTCCAGAAAATGGTGCATTTTGTGAAGTTACGAGCTCAATATGATCTTCTCCAGAATCATTATTGGGGAAAGAATAGTTGGAAAGTGTGAAGTCAACAAGGTTTAATGACTTGACTGATGAACTACTGTTTTAACGTGTAAACAAGCTGTCAAACGATTTTTCTATCTTTTTATCCTTTCAGTTGCCGTCCATCCGCTTACTAAGTATTACATCATGCTTAAGATAACCAATCCAACTCAAAATGACATTATCCTCCAACCAAGCGATAAATACCCAGCCGGGGGTTTCACCATCAGTAAAAAAGCCATTGCCAAGGTAAAGAAAGAGGTTTCAAGTCCATCTGAGGTTTCCTTTATTGCGCAAATCAAAGGCCAAGCAAACAAGTACATCTTGTTGAATGGCAAGCCAAGAATTAAAGTTTCCCCTTCAGAAAGTCCTTTGGAAGTATTTGATGTTAACTTTTCTCCAAAAGGTAAGATAAGATGATGATCTTCTGACACTGGTGAAAAACGCACTGCGCATGTCCACAGCTTTCCCGCCAATGAGCGCGCGCGTCTTGAAATCTGCCTAATGTATTTGTAAACAGAGCGCCTGGCGATTTTTGTGAAAGTTTTTTACAATTTATAAGCTCGTTCACAYATATATATAAGATTCATATTTCCATCAATCATTGTTCATGAAAGGTCCTTTTAGTATGTAGTTTCTATTTTTATCTTGTCATTATTATTTTGAGAAAATGAGGTTTTTCGTAGTGTTTTCTGTGTTGTCGCTGTCGCTCTGTTTACAAATGTAAATTAGGGAGATTTCAAGACGCGTGCGCTCACTGGCGGAAAAGCTGTCGACCGGTGTCTGATCGACCGGTGTCTGATCTTCTAACTTTACGACGACGGTGAATCAGTTTACGTTACCATTACGTCAAATTGTAACGGTAACCAGCATTATTTATGTAACTCATTATAAAAGCAAACGAGTGATTATGAACCACATTTGTTGATATTTCCATTCAATGACTTGCAGGAGAAACTGTCGAGGGTCCGATAGAAGGCGATGAGGAAGAAACCGGAGTAAAAGGTAATGCTTCTGTTTTCACACAATGCCACTCTTACAACTCGGTAAATTGGTGTGGCTGAAGGATCTCTAATGCCTGAAACGTTATTTTTTCAACCCTGTGTGTAGATTTTTTGAGGTTGTATGTATCTCATCCACATCAAACTATCTATGTGTCAGTTAAATTCTATTGGTTAGTTGTCTCAAGAATTTGGTACGYCGTTGCCAAAATACCTTGAACCATTAAATGCATTGCCAGCAGACTTTTTTGTCTCCCAGTTTCCTCTTTAATCAATGCAGCTTTTTGTCATGGATGGTTTTGTCGAGCTGACAACAYTGCATTTTTGGGGCTATGCACTTCTCAGACKTTGTTGCTTAMTTTARCYAGTTCTATGCTTGAATAGCCCAAGCTTTTAGGCGACGACTGTATCTAGACGTTGACACATTACGGATTTCCATTGACTCAATACTATTCATTTCACAGCTCCACCTGTCACACCAACTCTTTCCTGGTTAATGGCTGAACTCGATGCTGGTAAAGTACCAGGTAATCCACCACTTGCTGCTAACGGCAAACTGGCRCGCATCGATGGTGGTCTGGCTTTTGACGGTTATACAGGATTCCTGGAAAGTACTTTRGATGGAAMCCAGTGCCTGGTCAATCCAGACCTTTGTTCAGAGGGTCTCACGTTTGGTCTCAAGCTTAAGTTCAGGACAAGTTCTYTGACGGTTAATGAACCGCGGTACGTAGTGGACACTGGTAGGACGGCCATGGGTCGTGGTATTGCGGTCTATATTATAATGAAC